TAAAGTGTTTTAAAATGTTCAAGAACTGTTTAAAATGCTTGGAACCTGCTGTCAAACCTACAGTTCAATGCATTCCAATGGGGGGGGGGGGAATTCACCAAAAATTAACGAAGACTCAGAACAAAGCCAAAATAAGTTTGCAAAGGTTTTACAGGGTGCACTAACTATTCCAAGCATTTTAAACAGTTTTTGAACATTTTAAGACTCACTTAAAATAGCGAAAATGGACATCGCTAAGTGAAACAAGGGGACCTAAACTGTCATCGCTAAGCGAAGCAAGGTCCCGAACATCGCTATGAAAAATTTCCCCATAGGAAACATTGCTAAACGGAGTGCAAGATCGCTCCAAAAACCTCATCGCTAAGCAAATACATCGTTAAACGAGGCACTCACTAAGCGAGGCACCATTGTACTCTCTAATTCAGATATCAATGGCAGTTGCAGAAGCAATAGCCTCACAGTTATTTCACTACCACTAGATCCAGATTTTATACTTACAACAGTAGTGATACAGTGTCAGGTGTTGGCATCAATGAGCCTCTTTTACCTTTGAATACTTCTATGGGAATGATGCATTATAAAGCACATATTTCCAGTAGCAAATCATGTCACTGGGGAAGACAGTTAAAAGATTTGTTGAGTAGAACAATAACAAACACACAAGTAGGAATTGTCTCAACAAATATATGTAATATACACACAGGTATATGTGTGATGGAGAAAGCTGAAAGCAAACTTATTTGCTTCTTACAACAGGAAATGCAAGATGTTAATGGGCATACAGAAGGAAGCATTCTTTTGGAGATGTGTTCACAATTTTTGGGAACAGAGGCCTTATGTATATGTTTCCCCCATTTCCATTGATTCATCAAACAATAGTCAAGATCAAACAAGACAAATCAGATGTAATTCTGATAACTCCATGGTGGCCATGCCAGCCATGGTTCACTACTCTGTTGCTGATGGCAAAAGACAGAATAAAATTATCAATGTGTTACAACTTCCTAACATGTCACAAGAAATCAATACAGCATCTGGATATAGAGCAACTGAAGTTGACTGCATGGAGAATAATCCACAAATAAAGTATATTCAGCAGGAAGCATGAAAACCATGGCTACAAGAGGAAGAAATCTATGGAATATACATAATCAATGGGAGTAGTAACCTAGCTTCGCTATATGTTACTCTTACATTTCTCACCCACCTAAAGCAATTGGGATTGGCTGTTTCATCTTTGAAAGTGTACTTACTTGCAGTAGTAGCTTATCAACCTGAAAATCCTCCATCATCGCAACTATTTAGACATCCAGATTTAAATAAATTCTTAAAGGGGTTGAAAAATACTCTGATGTGAAGCCACCAGAAACACCTTGGCCCCTGTCTTTGATGTTGAGAAGCTAAGTAAAAGAACACAGATTCAAGATTAGTGATTTTCAAAACAACATTCCTAATTTCTGTTACTTCAGAAAGAAGACCAAGTGAAATTTCTGTGTTGAGATGTGGTCCACCATATATTCAGTTTAGCAAAGATAAAGTGATATATTCTACCTCCCAAATGTAGTGATCATTTCATATGTTTCAACTGCTGATATTACCAACTTTTTATGCATCACAGCAAAATGACTTAAAAAGGACTATATACCTTAGATGTGAAGAGGGCTCTAACCTTCTATTTATCAAGAACCAAAGAGTTTAGAAAGTCATCTGAACTCTGTGTGTTATAAAGATCCTAAAACAGGTGGTATAATATCTTCATAGCATTTCCCTAAATAGGTGGTGAATATGATAAAACAGCCTTATGACATTGAAAAAGTAAATTTGCTGTCAAATATCAGGTATTCCAGTTAGGTAGATGACTTCTTTAATAGCATTCATGAGAAGGATTGATATACAGAACAACTGTAGAGTTGCAATATGGTCTTAAACTTGGACCTTTGTAAATCATTATCGACTTAAGAGTTCAAGGAGATGCTCTGGAAGGTGCAATGAAGAATGTTTGCACAGGTACAGAACCCAATTGTGTGTTTGTAAATGACCACTCGAAGAACGACAGTTGCAAATGAGTAATCTGTCCTTCAGATCTCTGTGATTACAAAACAGTCCAGTGGAGCTGTTTATATCTCTGTGTCTCTTCTCTCTTTTCCATTGTCTCACTTTTTTAAAAAAAACCCATTTTATTAGTTTTTCAATCTATCTACATTGGTTTGTGCTTGTCAAACATCGTGTTATATGTTTTGCTTACAATTATTTATTTTTTTACATCTCAGTGTCTTCCCAGTTATCCCCCAAATTCCAAACTTCTTTCAAACATTCAAACCATTCATGTACATATTCTGATGTATAATATGGCTACTATCATAATATTGCTTTCATAGTATACAATATTCTCAAGGTCTTCTAATAGCATTCTTATTAAAGGTGGTTCCAAATCCATGCCCCAGCTTTATATCTAGTTTAGTTTACCTAAAATGAAAAACCACCATATTACATCTTTACCCTGATTAGGGATCTCTTATTTCAATTTAATTCTCCTTTTTAATATAAAGGATATACCCTTTTACAATTCTTGATATTAAATATATACATGTTTTTTAACATTAAGGGGCCCCTTCTTGTTTTTCCCTTTTTATCTTTCTAAGTAATTCCCTCTCTCATTTCTCTTTTTTCACCTTGTGTTTCTGTGTCTCTAAGCATTCTGCCATCTTTCATGTACTCTGAAACCATTTTGTACATCTGATTTATGTCCACTAACTCTTTATGTACTTGGTCTATGATCTTCCAGGCTTTTTTTGTTGTTAATTTTGCTGATTTTGTCCCTTTGTCTTCCTCTGATCCAAGACTGACATTTCTCTTAGGTTAATTTCCTCCAGCTCCTGTTTTGATTGGCATACATCATCTGGAACACTCTCATTTCCTTCTTTGTTGTTCCCTGTCACTTGCTGACTATAATTCTTCAGATGTTGATTGAATAATTT